TCACTCTGATTAGAGACGGACAGAGCCGCATAAAGCGCTGAGGGGATGAAAAAGGGCGGGATAGGAGATAGAGGGAGTTACAGATGATGTGGAACCAATAGGACAAGGCTCGTCTGTGAAACACCCTGTTTGTCAAACCCATCAACAAGATCACTTGCCAAAGTTCCAGCCAGGTCTGATTTAATGGCCAACATGTGATAATTTAACATAATAGATGTGAAGATTTGAACAGATGGGTAATTATCATTCTCTACCCTGATTTCCAAACACGTCTGAAATATCAATTTTAAAAAATATATAATTAATAGTGAGTGTGCTTACTCGTGCTCCAATTTTTAGGACAAATGTGTCATTTTTTACTTAAAGTGTCCTTATTAAGGGGTTGAGAATTTTGGATTTAATTCAAAATGAGAAACTTTTATTTATATACAGTATATACCGTATATGTGTGGTATTTAACAGACCACTTGTTGGAGTGAGGTCGAATACACAGTGTTTTAGCTTTTAAGCCTCAAACCAATCCGTTAGGTCTGAAGCTAAAAAAAATAACCTATATCTAAATTCAATCCTGTTAGTAATATAACTTATTCGAATGACTGAGATGTTTCTACATTCCTGTAATCTTAAACCACTTGATTAATGAGGCCAGTGGTTCACAACCTCCCCCCCCCCATCCCCCACTGAAAAGCTGATGCCCCTCAGGACCCACACTAAAAAAAGGGCTACATTGCAGTCAAAAATGAACATAAATTGTAGTTGTTTTTTTTTGCTAAACTCCCAACAGGACTACACACACTTTCTCTTTCCAAAAGACCTATGTATGAACTATCCATTAAGTGTTTTATCATGATGTTTGTGAATATCTGCAAATCTAATTTTGACACCCCAAGAGCTGACCTTGAGATCTTAGTTGCCCCCAAGGGGTCCAGAATCTCAGGTTGGAAATTCATGAATTAGGCTGAACAAGCACTCACAAACAGATGACAATAACTCTTATGTCGCTGTCCAGCGTCAGATTTCAAGTTGGAATGATGTGATAAAACATGTAAACTCCTGCTTGGTATGAATTCACCCATGACTTGGCTCCAACACCACTAGTAGCCTCTACAAAAGGAGAACCAATACTAATTTATCATGAGGGGAACCATAAGAGGAGATTGCATTATTTTGTGCAGAAAAGATTAGCCATGAGCCTTCAGTCCGAGCTTCAAAGACAGGTATAGTTTAAATCACATACGAAAACTAAACATAAGACATTTTCAGGCATACATTTTTAACGCATGTAATTGTTCATTGCACATTTCAATAAAAAAAAAAAAGAAAGCCAAACAATGTTGGAAAATGGGAAATCTGATTCTTTTACTTTGATTCTGAGTGAAAGAATATGAATATACAAAGCAGCCGATAGGAATAAATTGAAGAAAATCTTTAACATATTCTATCCATGCATCCATCAACCTTAAGCTTACGATGAACTGAAGAGGCAAAGTGTGTGGTGACTGTGAGGGCAGGAAAGAGACGGAGGCATGGAGAGGTGGCAGAGGATGGACCAGGAGGAGAAAGAGAGGAGGTGTGAGCATACAGGGAAGAGGGTGGACAGACATATGGATGAATGGCTGTTGACAGATGATGGGATTGCAATGACTAGAGTAAAGAAAAAAGTATAGAGGAAAAAGGGGGAGTAAAAAGAGGAGAGGTGGATGAACAGCCAGAATGAGAGAGGAAGACAAGGAGGAGGAGGAGGAGGACGACGACATGGGTAGGAGAGACTGAGGGTATCGAGTGAGGCACTGTGTTTATCAGTGTTCAGAATGTACTGTGCCGTTCAATTGTCTGTAAATGTCATCTCCTGTGCTAAGAGAGTGCTCTTGCAAGTCAAACACACACACACACACACACACACACACACACACACACACACACACACTCGCACACACACGCGCACACAAATGCATTTCAAAAGAGGAGAAACCATTTGTCCAACCTGCACTTGATCGCTTAATCACTCTCTGGTCCTCTCTTTGATTTCCTCTCTCTCGTCTTTTCATGTGTGTGAAGAGGACAGGGCGCTGTAGAGCTCCTCACCTACACCAGAAAAAGCCCCACATATGAAAATGGGAAAAATGATAATACATGTTATGTAATGGACGCATGTCAGGAAAGATGGCAACACATGAGAGACCGAAACAAAAAGAGAAATATAGTGAAATATAAGTGAAACTCTCTTGTTCTCAGCTTGTTGACTTATTGTCAATGTTCACCATTTTCCTGTGACTTCCCTCTCATACTTGGAACCTCATCAAAGCGTTGCGACTGCTGTGTTCTACATTGTTAGTATTTAAAATGTATCGATATTATCATTGTAGATTGATCAGTAAAAAAAAAAGGACATTAGGTCATATTTCAAGTTCAATTTTTTGTGACACATAACTGCAATCAGAAATAAGTTAATGTTAGCATTCAGTGAGTTGTTATCTTATAATCCATTACGCTAAGCTAGAGTGGCTAAATGCTTACATCAGCATTTTATAGGAACACGTGGTGTAAAGTTCTAGCTCATAGTCATGTTAGGATGTAGATGAATGATATTAGCTGTTGTCTTTTGGTAGCTGATGGGTTATCAAACATGTTTATCTTTAAAATATGGCTCGGTGTCTCTCAGGATTTTCACTATTTACTATTCTGTTGGGATTTAAGCAAAAAAAAAACAAACAACAACTACAATTTTTGACTGCAAGGGCCTGAGCAGGTTGTAAGAGGAAAATGGCCGCCAAGTTAATATGTTGAATTGTTGGCCTCTCTGTGAGAAAATGCAAGGCGGCTCTAAAGAAGAAGTCAATACAGGATTACTGTTTCCTGAACGTGAAGGTTCATCGTGCACTATGGATGCTCCTTTTGGTCTAGTTTCTTATCAGTCAGAGCAGAATGGGTTTCCTGATTCTCTCAGAGAATGGCCAGCGAAGGGAGGAGAAATCCTGTTTGTAAATCAAACTGAGAGGACACTATGGCTGCCGGGGGACTTTGTTTACTTTGTTTTACTACCCCTGTCTTATCCTGTTGACAAGGCAGGTCAGGAGTGTGTATTTCTGATGTAACAACATGTTCAAGAAATGGACAAAAACACACAGAGCCTACATCCCCTGTGCCAGGTGCCAGTGTGCAAGAAGGCAAAAGAGGAGATGCACATCATCTCCCATGTATGACGCCTCACCCACTCATATGCACTTATTGATAACATCTGACAACCTCAAACAAATGGCACGTGAGGAAGCGGAAGGTCAGTGTTTGAGGTGACAGGAAACAAGCCTGTGCATGACACCGCTACTCACAATCAAACAAGTCAGGCTGAACATAAAGTGAGAGAGTTACAGTATGACCGGATGTGTCTTTATGCTTTGACATGCTCAAAATGCACATTTACATGCATCATATGCACTCTGAGTGTTAGTAAATGTGTGTATGATACCAGGGTAAAGGGCAGAGACAGCTGGCTGCACCTTTAAATAAGAGGAAAAGGGTGTTATTTCTAGGCTACATGAGAGACATAACAGAACAGGATGCAGCTTCATGATTCCTATTAACATTTTGTTTTGTTTTGTTCAAATGTGAGAAAGTTTTTGGGCTCTTTCAAGGCTCACTTATTTTGCATTTAAAATGAATAAATGTGGCTGCTGTTGGGTGCAGTTTAGTATTGTTGTATTCTATAACTTCAAAACGACTTTTCTAGCTTGGACTTTCATTTCCTCCGCTGTTTTATACATTTTTGATACCATTCCAATACTCAGCATTTTGGTAACAATTGTTAAGCAGAGAAATATATACAGTCAACAAGAGATAACATTTGTTCAGTTGATTTAATTAGGCTATAAATTAAGTGTATGTTTGTATTTAAGATTTACTTTATTGATCCCGCAAGGGGAAATTCTGTTTTTACACTCTGTAAGTCATGCAACACACACATAGGCTGACATATACACACATGCACAAACAGGATCCTATGGACATGCACTAATGGAGAGATGTCAGTGGCTTGTAGAATCTGCAAGATGGAAGAGAAGTTTCAAATCACATTTATTTGAAGCTGGTTGCCTACGTTTGTTATTCATCAAAACAGATCAATGTAGCCCAGTGTGTCATAAAAGGTTGCTGGATTGATCAAATACGCTCATAGAATGAGCTGTTTTTACTGTTAGTTAGGCCCTACATACTGACGCTTTTAATACTTAATTTGTCAATTTAATAAGTGTAATTATCTTGATATGAAAGCGGCTAATTAGAACTAATGACCCTGATTGACGTACATGGACACGGAGAGCCGGGCTGATCTCGCGCCTCTCGAATCGTAGGATGTGATGTCACCACGGCAGCGCGCTGTGACGGTCTCCCCGGCAACGCCGCGTGCTGCAGTGACGCCAGCCCCAGTCTCCGGCTCGTGGTGAGTGGGCGTGACTCGCCACGTTAGGCCCCCCCCCCTCCTCCTCCCCCCCGCCTTCTCCTCCGTCAGTGTGGGCGGGCCCCGCTCAGAAGAGAGCGAGCGAAACACGACACCCCGAGGACAGCGAGAGGCACGGGGGGGAGGAGAGAGTCGCGCTGAATGGTGTGAGAGTGAGTGGAGGACTTAAAAAGTCTGTAAAGAAAAGAGAGCTTCCTCTGCGACGTTTTATTTCTGTCAAAGAAGTGACAAAGCTTTGCGGGTAGAGAGATGTCAAACAGCGACGAGGATGCGGTTGCGACGGAGTAAACAACCCCCGAACAGTTAGCAAAATAAGTTGTTAAAACAGAGTGAAAGGCTGTTTTCTTTGGCTGCATCGAGACGGGACGGGTTGGCAGTTTTCCGCCGCGACTTGAGAGCGGAATTCAGCGCCGCTTGTTACACAGAGGCGAGGAACCGACGGCGAAGTCTTGACCGCTCATATCGCCGGGAAAGGGAACCACTCGGTCGGTTGCTCGGTTGGCAGAGAGCCGGGGGGTGGTGGGTGGGTAGGGGGGGAGGAGGGAAGCGGAGCGGAGCGCGGCGGCGGCAGCGCGAAGAAGGAGAGCCGCTGAAGTTGTAGCTCCAAAAAGTTTGCCGTGTATCTTTCACCTAGTGTTCCAGATCAGGAACCACAGGGGGGGGGGGAGGAAGAGGCCGAGGGACTGCTGACTGCTGACTTTTCCTTTCCCTTTTCCACGAGCAACTTTGTGGGAGCCGTCCTGCTCTGTAAAACTTCAGCAAGCCTGCTAAAGAAGCTGAAAGAACAAAGAATGAAAACACCTGGAGAAAGTGGTAAGTTTCCGCGTGGCTCCTGCTCTGATTTTATTTTAAATCCACCATTGTCTTCTTGTTTACTTACAGTCCACATAAGCTTAGAGTGACTACATTGCTGATTAAAGAACGAGCCAGGTGGTAATCAACATCCGCTTCCATACCAGAAAACCTGTTGATTTGAGCAGTTCAGGGTCAATGCATGAGTGCGTGTACTGTTGCTTCAGTAGATGTGAGTCTAAAATCTGGTGCAGGTAAAGTACTGTACTCCTTCAAGAGGAAGTGGTTAAACTACTGTACAGTTGTTACGGCGACATCCTCTGTCACCCTGACAACCTGATTTCACCATGCAGCACCTTTTAGGAGAACACACTGAAATCATGGAAACACTGTGTGGGGTCATTTTTAATTGCTGAGTGAGAGAAAAAGGGAGATATGGGGACGTGTTAATAAGTTAGCCGATGACTTCCCCTCTTGGTGGGGGTGTTGAGGTGATAGGATCTGGCTTAGGTGTACATGAAGCAAGCTGATATTAACACTGAGCATACAATTGTCAGGTACTTGACTTGTCAGCATAATGAAGTGGAGTGAGGGTGTGTGGTGTGGGGTGGGGGGATTTCCAGTAGTCAGCTGATATCTCTGTGTGTCATTTTGTCTAATTCCTGAAATGCTTGCATAAGTTTGTTCTTGCTCCCTTCACTGGAAGTCATTTTTTTTTTTATCTTCAAAGGAGGAAGTGGAAGTGCGATCATTGGTTCTGGCTAAACACTTTCATAGTTGGTGATCTGCCTGACTTGACCCTTTTCTTTAATGAGACACCACAGGAGATCAGTTTGATTTAATTTGTTGATATGGTCGTGCAGAATTTGTGCAGCATGAAGATAACACATGAAAGTGAAGATTCCTGCTGAATATTTTCTTCTGTACAAATTCAAGTATACATATTTGAAACATTTTAACTTCAACAACTACCTAAGTAGTTACTGGTAGGCATTTGGCATAAATATGTGTGTGTGTGTGTGTGTGTGTGCAACTAACAAATTGTGTCGGACCCTTTTCCACTTGGGACATTCCCCTCCCCCACACTGTCCCCTCCTGACTCCCGCTGCACCCAGCCTCAGCCCCTCAGCCCTTCACATTCCTGCACACACACACCCTCTCCCTGCAGCAGTCCTGAGGAGGCTACCATGACATCACACCACATCCCACCACAAATAGCCTTTTATTATAAGGAACTCAGTGTTTGTGAGGCAGCAAATAGCTTAAGTCCTTCTGGGAAGGTACTTAAAAATTAATTGTACTCAGGTTATTGGATTGGTGTATGCAGTGCGTGTTGAAGTCGGTTGTGATCAAGGCAAAGCACATTGTTTGTTCTGTGTATAGTTGTGTGCTGCCATCCATGTGGTCTTTTTAATTTGGTACTATGGCAGCTTTGTAATATCTTTTGCAGTTTAGTTTTTTTTTTTTTTTTACAAGTGATTTAGACTGTGTAGAATAATGAAGCCCAAAAGTGAGACTTGGCAATGTTCCCTTCTTTGGCTCACAGTCTCAATACCCAAAGTTCTCTATCTTTAAAGATAGGGGGCAACAAACACTTCCTTTTTTAAAAGGAATAAGTTTTTGACCCATTTTAAACTGCTCAGTTATTAGTGCTGGCAAAAAAATTGATACAGCATATTGTGATATTTTGTGTGGCCACAACATAAAATAACTAGTATCAATGTTATGTTATATATTAATCATGCTCTTATTATGACTACGAATGATTTTTTTTGGTACTAGAATGATAAATAAAGTGTTTTTATAATTTGTTAATGAAGGCAGAAGTTGTTTGAAACAAAAAGTGATATCATTATTTCATTTCTGTTTAGCTGTGTTTTACTTTCAGTTGCTTAAAAGGGTGATTCAGAGCATTGAATTGTTCAAACTAAACCACAATATTAGTTTTTGGAAAATGCTTAAACTTGTGGTAATAGATTATCAATACAAAATCTTATCAGCTGGGCTCTAATAACAATACTTTAGCCATTATTTACTCACCATTTCAGTATCATCTATTTGAAATGTTCAGAGAACTGATTACATAAAGCTACAATTCATCAAGTTACATGTCATACGTGCTAAGTGAATTGTAGAATTGTAGAACTGATTACATAAAGCTACAATTCATGAAGTTACATGTCCTTTATTAATATGAAATGTGATCACTTCCCACTTGATCATGTAATTGATTAATCCTTTTGGCTTTAGTGGGTAAACATAGCATCTCTGTCTCAAGAGCATTATCTTACATCACATCTGATCTCATAACGTCACTTTTAAATAGTTGAGTTATTGAAGTGGTTTATCATTGCTGCAGTCCTGATCTCTCGATCTCCTGCTGTTGCTGCGTCTGCAATCAGGACACAAGTTTTAACCCTTAACCTGTGTATATCCCATCATTTAGAGCAAACACTTTTCTTGAATGTGGAAGGATATAACAGTGCCAGGATAAGTGTAGGATAAAAAAATGCAATCATCCCTTCCCAGGATGTTTGCTGATGTAGGATTATGTCCCATACGGTAAGCTGCTGCCTCTGTTGAGCTTACCTCCTCTCCCCTCCATCAGCGGATGCTTCCCCTTGCACTCCTGTTTTCCACAGTCACTTCATTAGCCTGAATAGATAGATGATAGGATTTCTGCTGAGACAGAGAATTGATGTGATGAGACAGGAAATGGCAGGGCTATGCATCTGTTGTTAATATCAGTGTTGGTTTTGCAGAGTTTTAAATGATCCAGATTTATTTTTCTGTGTATGTCTAATCGCTGCTGTTTAACTAGTCTTTGCTTTGGAAAAGGGTTAGAGGCAAATGATTCTACAGGTTGCATTAGTCAGCAGCAGACAGGCAGTTGGGGGCTTGTCTGATCTTACACAGTCTCTGATATCTACCTTTTTGTTTACCTAAAAGGCTGTGCTAATGATCGATTAAACTAAGATAAGGGCGCACACACACCCTCCATAATAACATGTCTCTACACCACCGCCACACGCGCTTTGTAGTTTGCGTTTCACCCATTTTCCTTCATCCTTCCCCAATTTTTCATCCTTTTCTTCCAATCTTTCTCTGTCACTCTTTTCTCTCTCTGACGGGATAAGGACTGGTGTGTGTCTTTGTGTGGTGGAATTGCATAGTGGGACCCCTGGCTCTAGAGTGGCCTTTGTGTGTGTGTGTGTGTGGAGTGCGGGACAATGGTGGGAGTGGGGCAGGCCCTGGGGCTGATTGTGTGCAGACTTGTGGGGCCAGGGACCTCTCATTGTACTCATAATGGTGCGGAGTAGCTCATAGTTTGGTGGTGCTTTTGACAAGTGAAGAGACCGCACTTCTGCCTCCGTGTGAAATGTGTGTGTGTGTGAGAGAGAGAAGGAGAGAGAAAGAATGAGGTAAATTTGGCATCCTAGTTTATTTTTCATCAGTCACTCAACTACTTGGCTTAATGATTATTGTTTTGTGCCGCTGCTCTAGAGTGATTGATGTGCATTAATTCCATACATAGTACAGTCCTGCCTCATGTTGGGACATAAGGATAACTTCTGAGCAAGGAGGGCACATGTTACCTTTTCCTTGTCTGTGTGCAGCATATGCTTTTCAATCTTAACACACAACCACTGTGATGATAAGCACAGTGATTAGCCTTATCTATGAAAACTCCCTTGCACTGCTGACCACAGCAAAACCACTACCTCCCATTATCCCAATTCTTTTTACAGGCTGCTTTATGGGACAATCCCTGCTGTGATCAGGCTCAGCCGACATGCTTTAAGCTTGAAACAGATGAAGTTTCATAACACACTTATTATCTTCCATCAAAGAAGGCAGTCAAATTATTTTATGTGCCAAGAATCGAATAGTTTGAGGTATTCTCAGGAAATTTGCCAAGCTTTTTATTTTGCATACCTTAGTTTTGTCAACTCCTTGTCTCAAGGGTTCTTTATGAACATTTTGACATGGCTGTCTGTGACACTAAGTTGAAAAATTACTTCTGTGTAGAGGAGGCCTTCAGTTGTGGAAATGTCTGTATTTAGGCAGGAATGTGACCACAGAGAACAATGCGCTCAGCCAGTTGACACTAATGGACCTCCCCACCATTAGTCCTGTGTCGCCCTTGACCGAGGAGACCACAGAGACCACAGCCAACAACGCAGCACTCCCCTTGAAGGCCAGGTTCTTTCTAACCGCTGTTCCTCACCCCACCATGCTCGCCCCTGCCCCAGAGACCCTCACATTAACTTCAGATCCGTTCATCGACTCCTATAGATTGTCGTCCTCTCTGACCTGTTTGATCAGCTTTGTGATTGTGAGGTTCTGCACTAAAAGGCTCCATTTAAAATGCACTTTTTACGCTGACAACACAACAGCACAACTAAATGTGTCCTCAGGCCATGTGTGTTTGTCTGTGATGAGAGTTGAGCCTACTTTTACTGTGATGCCATTGGTTGCAGCCTACAGCATGACCGCATCGACCGTATTAGTTGTTGGTCAGGGATGGTAATGAGTCTGGATGGGATGGACCGTTGACAGATAACTGTAACACTTTAAGAACACATGTGTGAGTACATATATACACACACACACACACACACACACACACTTTTGCACACACTGCTGCCTTTTATTGGAATTCTTGGACCTCCCACATTCCTGCTTAGAAGGTTAATAGTTGCCGGCTGTGTTGCATTACACATGAGGGGAAAACACAACAGTTACTATCTCTGCAAGCCTTTTCTGCACACGCTCGGTGTGCAGAATAAACTCTGTGTGCTCAGTTTGTGACTTACTAAGTCATGTGTGGACATTCTATACAGACATTTTCCTAATCACTTTGAAGGAAAATATTAATTAAACAGGATTAAAATGATGCCCTTTTTAAGTAACCATCAGCCTCAAAATGCATAGATTGATCCCACACATTTACACACACACATGCGCGCGCACACACACACACACACACACACTCTCTCTGAGGGTCTCATTTCAAATGG